GGAATTTAGGAACAGTCTGCAGCGTGCTGCTTCCCTCCCACAGCTCCCAGCACCATTTGGAGCCACTGGGAAAGCCCAAAGAGAATCACCCTCACAGCCTGGATTTGGGAGATCCAAAATGACCTTCACCCACCACTCAGAACACCCACCCAGCCCTGGGGCCAAACCTTCCTCCCCCTCTGTGCTCCCAATCACCATCCTGAACCTTTGCCAACAGCATCTGGTAAAAGATTCACGTGTCAAAGGCTTTTCCTGACCGACAACCTTTCTGCATCCTGGCTCCTTCCAAAGTTAGAGCTGCTCTTTCAGTGTCCATCCCTTCCTGAGAGATGTTTAACACCATCTGGGGAGCCTCAATTGAATGCTGGAGCTCAATTCTTCTAAACTCCRAGTTAAACTTACTGGGAAATGAATCACAGCTTGTCTTGGGATTCTCATGCTTGTTTAGGTTGCAAACACCCCACCTGTTTGATCAGAATATTATTTTGTTTGCCTTTGCTGTTTTTGCTTACTGAAAAGTTCTTGTGATTAGTGCCAGTGCCAGGCAACCYGAGAGAGGAAAACAACTTTAATCCAGTGAAGGCCACGGTTAGTCTTGATTAGAAAGTTCAGAGCAAAGTTAGCAAACACAAACACGAGAAAGCTCAGCCCCAAAGCACGTGTGSCACAATTCTCTGCTGTGAATTCCAGGCATCCTGCAAGGTGCAGAGCCCAGATCTGGGATCTGAGCTCCAGGACACAGCTCTCCAGCCTGGCCAGAAATGTCCCTCACCTTTAAACTCCGGGGTTATTCGCATTTCTCTGTTCTTTAAAATGCAAATGGAATGGTCAGATTGAATCTGAAGAATCACCTTCTTTCTAATGAAAAGGTTCTTATCAGTTGGCTTTGGAACAATCTGCTGTCTGTGAGAGCATTAATTGAAAACATTTGTATTTATCCAAGTAGGATGCATCTGAAGAACTCTGAGTGGGCATTTTTTCTAGGTTTTCCTTTACAAAATCAACTGTGAACTCCATTCCTGGCATTCTGTAAATCTAATTTCCATTGCTGTAAGTTCCTGTTGTGCAGCAGGGATTCAGTCAGTGCTCATTTAACAGAATTTCACAAAGAGCACACGTGAAACATCCCCACAGCTCAGTTCCTTCCAGGGTTTGCTGTGTCAGAGGTGCCAGGATCTCCTGAAATCCTCAATTCTGCACTGCCTACACCAGGCCAGAATGAAAAATGTCCAAGTGTCAGCCTTGCTGATCAAATTTCCTCCYTTGTCTGCTTGATTCACTGTCTTCCCCGGGGTTTCCATACAGCTCATTAAACAAAACAAACCTTTAGAAAAAGAGAATGCTGGACATGATGAACTACCTTTGCTGGCAATGTGTGCAACCCACCCAGGTGTCTAGACAGCTTGAAAAATACAGATCATATTCAGGAGCAGCAGCTGGYACTGCTCAAATCTCCCTGCTGGACCCCAAATTGAGCAGAAACAGAACCTTTATCAGTGTGAGGGGTTCTCCTCCAAAGAAAACATCCAGCCTGCTGCAGGAAACGGAGCTGCTGCTTCAGGGGATGGCATTTTACCTGCAGCCACCAGAAAGTTCTGCTCTCACAAAGGTCCTGTTTGGAGCAAAGGGAAAAACTGCAGGGTAAAGTTATTTAATATCCCAAATGCCCCCTGTTCACAGAGAGCAAATGGGGCTGCTCCCATTCACATTATTAACAAATAATTTGTGTCAAGGCCAGGCAAACACCAAGGGAAWCCCAAGGTGTCCCTGCTCAGCAGGGATCTCCCTTCTGATCCAGTCAAACCTGTCACAGTCCTGCAAAAACCACACAAATCTTTGCCCAATTTAATTGTATTTGGGAATTTATCATCCTCCTTATAGGGGGGAATAAATAAGATTTATAACTCAGCTCAGTTCCAGCCAATGAGGCTGCCCTGAGCTGKGGTGTTGGGGTGAAGCTGCTCAGGCTGGGAGGGAACCTGAAAATCCCCTGAACTTCCACACAGTGTGAGCAGGGCAACGTGGCTGCTCTGTGCTGCTGCTACAGCAGGTCCAAAAATGGGGCAGAAATCCCAGAAAGGGGCAGAAGATCCAGAAAGGGGCAGCAGATCCCAGAAAGGGGCAGAAGATCCCAGAAAGGGGCAGAAGATCCCAGAAAGGGGCAGATCCCAGAAAGGGGCAGAAGATCCCACAGGAGGCCCCAGAAAGGGGCAGAAGATCCCAGAAAGGGGCAGAAGATCCCACAGCAGATCCCAGAATGGGGCAGAAGATCCCAGAAAAGGGCAGATCCCACAGCAGATCCCAGAAAGGGGCAGAAGATCCCAGAAAGGGGCAGAAGATCCCGAAAGGGGCAGAAGATCCCACAGCCGATCCCACAGCAGATCCCACCACAGACCCCATACCCTGCAGTGGACAATCCCATCCACGCTGCCCCATGGTGACCATGGCAGAGGTTGGGAAGGGAACCCCGGGGGTGCCACAGGAAGGGGCAGCTCCAGCAGCCACGGGAAGAGCCCCACAAAACCATAAAACCCCCACAAACCATAAAACACGAGGCAGACAAAACATCTGGCACTGCTGCAAATAGTTGTGTGTCTGAAGGGCAGAGAAGCTGCGAGAGTTTCGAATCAAAACATTGCAATGGCAGGATTGGTGCTTCAGTGAGTTTGGTGCAGGCATTCAAGGAGTTCTGTTCCTTTCAGCACTGCTTTGCGAGCCAAGAAACGCCGTGCTTTGGGTTGGGTTTTACATTTTAATAAACTTTTCAAAATCAATCACTCTATTTCCTTCTCCAGTCAAAGGCAGCTTTGGCATGGGATCAGCAGCACGAGCTCTGCCTAGGAAACGTGGGGCAGAAGAGGGGCAGTGTGCTAGGAAATGTTTTTCATGATTGTCTTACCTTCTGCAGGAGAAAAGGTGTGACTGCCAGGATCAGTTCTCAAAGCATGACGCACGTCCTTTCAAACATCTCAGGGAGAGGGAAAATCGCCTCGCTGCTGGCAAAGGGCTCGACAGGTACAGACTGCGGGCTGGGCTCCAAGGGGAACTCGTTTGAGCTCGGGAATAAACGACAATTGGCAGTTCCCCCTCCCAGCCCTGCTGTCCTGGCACTGGGACAGCTCTGAGAAGGTCTGGTGGCACCTGCACCCAGCCCAGAGCGATGACAGAGCTGCTAAGGGAGGGTGACAAATGTCCCGGTCACTGAACGCTTTGCTGGACTCAAATTACTCTCAGCAGAGCCTCAGCTTCCAGGAAGAAACAAAAGCTGCTCCCTGGTTGTGCAGAGCAGCAGGGGGATGGAGAGGAACATCCCCTGTACTCAGGGGATGCTGCCAGGGCAGCAGAGGATGGAGAGGAACAGCTCTGTACCCAGGGGATGGTGCCAGGGCAGCAGGGGGATGGATGGAGAGGCTCTGCACAGCCCCAGAACCAGGAATGGCTCTCTCTGTACCCAGGAGATGCTCCCAGGGCAGCAGGGGATGGAGAGGAACAGCTCTGTACTCAGGGGATGGTGACAGGGCACCAGAGGATGGATGGAGAGGCTCTGCACAGCCCCAGGAATGGCTCTGTACCCGAGGGAATGGTGCCAGGGCAGCAGAGGATGGAGAGGAACAGCTCTGTACCCAGGGGATGGTGCCAGGGCAGCAGGGGGATGAATGAAGAGGCTCTGCACAGCCCCAGGAACAGCTCTGTCTGTACCCAGGTGATGTTCCCAGGGCAGCAGGAGGATGGAGAGGAACAGCTCTGTACCCAGGGGATGGTGCCAGGGCAGCAGGGGGATGAATGAAGAGGCTCTGCACAGCCCCAGGACCAGGAATGGCTCTGTACCCGAGGAGAATCAGCACCAGGAGATGCTGCCAGGGCAGCAGGGGATGGAGAGGAACGGCTCTGTACCCGAGGGGATGGTGCCAGGGCAGCAGGGGGATGGATGGAGAGGCTCTGCACAACCCCAGGATTGCTCTGTACCCAGGAAATGGTGCCAGGGCAGCAGAGGATGGAGAGGAACAGAGGAATCTCTGTACCCAGGAGGTGCTCCCAGGGCAGCAAGGGTGGCTCTCTGCCCCGCTGGAAGCAGCTCTGGCAGCTTTTCCTGCTGCTCCAAAGGCAGAGCTGTGCCTGCCCCATGCCAGGAGCAGCGAGGATTTATTGGGATTTGCTAATCTGTGATTTCATTTGTTGATTCCATCAGCCCCAATCCCATCCCATGACTTCCTCTGCCGTTGCCATGGCTCTGTACATAAACACTGCGGGCTCCCAGCCCCGAGCAGCTCATTTGTTCCAAATATTCCATGCAGCTGGAACACGAGGCTGTTTGGGTGTCTGGAGCCCAGCATGAACTAATTCCTGCCTTTTCTGCACCCTCCCAGCACCCTCCAGCCACACAGGGAAGGGGAAGTTYGGGCAGAACAGGCACAAAGTCAAGAGTTTCAGGGAAATCCTGTGCTGCCTGCAGCAAACCAGAAATGTGATTATTGAATGTGCTGGGTGCTGAGGCTCAGCACCTACAAACCCTTGTTTTAGAGTGGGAAAACCACATGGTTAAGACACCCTAAATTAAAAAATAAATAAATAAATAAATAAATAAATAAAATCTTGTCCTGACTAGAAACAAGAGGCAAGAAAGCACTTGCCTTTTTTGTGAGCTCTCCATCCCCACTCTATCTTCATCAGGCAGTTCTCAGTTGAACCTCTCGAGCTGCAGGGTGTGTGAGAGCTSATTTAATGATTTGGGTTCCTCTCACAGCTGCAGGGAAGGCAGGAATGRGACAGGAGGGGCACTGAGGATGGATTCAGAAAATTCCAATCCCTTTGGAGAGGCTGAACCTCACTGGGAGCATCTCTGCACCCCCAGGTCCATCCTGCCCTCCCTCTGAGAGATCCCAGCCAGGAATTGTTCATCTGAGCAGAGATAAAACCACTGCTGGGGCAGGAATAAACTCACTGCTCATGCAGAGACAGAGAAGAAAGAAATCTGATCGTTTCATGCAAATAAAACCCATCACCAAGGAATATTTAATAAAGTTTATTAGGTTACTGAGTGTTATCTACAGTCATAAAATAGAAAGAATTTTAAACTGTACAAAGTAATGTGGTGGTGAAGTGAGGAGAGATGGAAATGAGGGAGCACAAAGAGTGTTAGAAGTAGGGAGAACACAGCTCCTTCCCTGCAGTTCTGGAAGACACTGGTTCAAGTTGAAGGCAACCGAGTTTTGTGTCCCACCCTGCAGCAGAAACGAGTACAAACCCCTACACTGAAAAAAATCAKACAATATTAGAATAAAAAAGGGGCACGTCACACCCCACCCAGTCTTGGCACCAACTCTGTGCTTTAAAAAATATACTATGCAAGTAGTTTATTTTCCAAAAGGTACCCTACAGCAGCTGTTTAAAACATGTTCTTATACATACACCACAAATATATATATTAACATTTTCAACAACTAAACTCATTTGTACCTACACAAAACTGAAGGGATAACTCAAAAGCAAAAAAAAAAAAAAAAAAAAAAAAGAAAACAAACAAACCCAAAACCAATCACACAAACATTTTTCAAGAAAAAAAAAATACAAAGAAATGTGCAAAATAACCCCAGAAAGGCAGCATAGTAACCTGTGGAGAGGTCAAGAGAGCAGCTCCTGCTGATAAAGGAGTGTCATCCTCTTTGGGATCTATTTGGGATGTGCTGATTTGGCCTGAATTTTGTCCTGTTTATTGCAGTTCTCTCCTGGAGGGGTTTTCTGGCTGTTGCTGATGATCAGCCCTGGCTCTGCTCACACCCTCTGCAATTCCTCCCTGCTCAGGGCATTTCTGCAGCCACCCCAAGCACAGACAGAGCCGCTCCTGCTGCAGCCACAGCGAGATTAAGCTGCTCCATGACACACAAAGCCTGGCTTGGATGAGTTTAAGCAGCTTAGCCAAGGAGAGAATTCCCTGGCAGTGCCATCAGAGGAACATGAAGGTGTTTCTCTAAAGGGACAGGGCAGGCAGAGCTCAGGGGACAGGAGCTGGGACAAAGCTCAGCTCAGGATGGGCTTACCCAGGACAGAAATGTATCTGTCCTGCTCCCACATCAGCCCAGAATAAAAGCTGCAATTCCCAGTCAGAAAAGAGGCAGAGCAGACACAGCCTGACTGCAGAATCAACTGAGGCAAACACAGAATGGAGCAGGAGAGGCAATGGTGACAAACAGGAAAGGAGGAGTCACAACCTGTGTGACAGCAACAGAGCAGGCTGAAAAATCCCAGCACAGACAGAAAAAAACACCTCCTCCACATCACACAGTGTCCTGGCAAAGGCTTCTTGCTTTTGCTGTTGCAGGGCTTGGGGCTGGACTTCTYATTTTTGGTTTTTAAAAACTCCCCAATTAATTCTTTGTGCTCTTTCCAACTCTGCTGGCCACCCTGTGCCTTTCCACTCTTAGGACCTGGTTTTAACATTCCTACTACTCCTAATGCCTTCACTTTCCTGATATTATGTAGTTTTTCTTACTTTTATTCTTTGATTATTATCAAAGATAATAACCTTCGATAATAAGATTATTATTTAGCTGGCACAGCAAACCCTTCCCTGGAAGGCAGAGGATGCAGCACAGCCTTTTCCAGGAGCAGCAGAGCCTCTGTCCATGTTCTTTCTGTGATTTCCAAGTTCCAGAGCACTGAGTGAGGAACCAGAATTGCTCGAGGGCTCGCCAGGAGGGGTTGAAGCAGCAGCAGGAAGGCTTTGGCCAAGGAGCTCCAGCAGCAGGGATGACACTGGGCATTGAGCCCACGGCGCTGGGGGTCAGTTCTGATCCGTGGCAGAGCTCCAGGAGGGTCATTGGTAGAGCAGGTAACTCTTGAGGGAGGCTGGCAGGGGCAGCGTGGGGATCTCAGCCAGTCTGTCCTTGCCCAGGGCCATCCTCACAGCGCGGCGGCACAGATCCATCAGGGGCAGGGGTTCCGCTGGGGAGAGAGAGCCCAAAAACATCAACAGCTCGGTCTGGGAGATGCAGCCTTCTAACATCCCCAAAACAGCCCAAAACCAGCCCAAAACCAGCCCAAAAACAGCCCAAAAACATCAACAGCATGGCCTGGAGGTGCAGCATCACTGTACAGCCCAAAACAGCCCAAAAACAGCCCAAAAACACCCCAAAAACAGCCCAAAAACAGCCCAAAAACATCAACAGCATGGCCTGGGAGATGCAGCCTTCTAACATCCCAAAACCAGCCCAAAAACCAGCCAAAAAACAGCCCAAAAACAGCCCAAAACCAGCCCAAAACCAGCCCAAAAACATCAACAGCTCGGTCTGGAGGTGCAGCATCACTGTACAGCCCAAAAACAGCCCAAAACCAGCCCAAAAACAGCCCAAAAACATCAACAGCATGGCCTGGAGGTGCAGCATCACTGTACAGCCCAAAAACACCCCAAAACCAGCCCAAAACCAGCCCAAAAACATCAACAGCATGGCCTGGGAGATGCAGCCTTCTAACATCCCAAAAACAGCCCAAAACCAGCCCAAAAACATC